ATCCTGGACTGTTTTCTTACCAAAGCTCTTTAAAGAATTCAAAGCAGTGTCTTGCAGAGTAATTTAATATTAAAAGCAGGCTTGGCAAGCCCCACAGAGTGTCCAGACCATTAAGCTGATCAGATACAACAGCAACAAGTGGAAGAGAGGAAAGAGGCAGTGACCAGAACTTGCTGGGGTTTTAGTGACTCAGGTCTGAAGAGCCATTGACTTGAATCAGCAATTTATTCTTATACATCTGCAATGTCCACCCCACAGAATCCAAAGTAATAATATCTCCTCTGTTTTTGACCAGAAAAAGAAAAAACAAAGATGGAGAAGCAGAGAGAGGATGAACTGATTCAGAAGATTCATAGACTGGTACAAAAAAGAGATTTTCTTGTAGATGATGCAGAGGTGGAGAGATTACGGTAAGAAATAAAAGAAAGTGAACTTATTAATGAGATTTCACAAGTCTAATACTACACTGGAGCAAGTGACAGAATTTACATTGACATAAATGGAAGAGAATTGGTCCTTTAAAACAACTTACCAAGTTAAAAGTCATCTCCTGGTTCCATAGGAAAAACATTAAAACTGGATGACTGCACTTCTGTGACTTTATCCCATTAGTGATTCAGTCATCTCATGATTACTGCTGGGTTTGGCTTACTTTCCTACCATAAAGTGTCTGGGCATTTACCATTAAAACAAGGAGGATTTTTGCTGCTACCAGAGAATCACCTTGGCATAGAAGACATGAAATGGAATTCTATAAGGGGGGTATTTGTAGACATCTGTCTGTTTGTTTTCTTTTCTTTTTTTTTTTTTTTCCCCAAACAAATTACTAATGTGGTCAGATTTTATTACTACTATTCTCACCCTGCCACAACAACAACAACGAAAAAGAGAATTCAATCAGTAACACAGGTCTAACTAACCTAAAGCATAAGTGAGTTCAGAATGGTTTCATCTTGGTATTTTAGCCCAAAGCTGCTGAGAAAACTGTGGTCTTCCTTAAAAGTTGATTTCCAGCTGTTGCACTGAGATCCCAGCACTCTACAAATAGTTTTGCTAATACTTCACCTGTCTCTTTCAACAGTAAAGATGCAAGGCTTATCAATCCATTTATTCCAAATAACAGTATCTCTTCCAACACATTTAAATTCTAAGCAAGCAAAGGACAGGAGAGGAGAAAGCTTGCCAGAGTCCTGCAGCTGATCAAAGAGAGCTGGCCAAAGTCAGCAGCTGACAAGAAGCCTGTGCTAGTAATGTAATGCAGAGCTCTCAACTGCTAGTTCAATGTGAAAATCACAAAAACCTGGGCAGCAGCAGCCAGACAATACAGAAGCTTAATTGTAGACTACTGAAAATGTACTGCTATGCACTATGCAAATGTGAATACATCAGTGTCAATTCACATCTGCGGTAAAACCCAAGGCTTTTCTTTAAAAGTCTTGATAAGAATATCTGCTTTTTCTCTAAACTGAGATACTCAGTGTGCCCACTGTTAATGTTTCAGTAACAAAATAGCAAAGAAACTAACACAGAAATATGGTTAATAGATACAATCAAGGTTTGCAACACAGTCTTTTTATTTTGGGCCTAATGCTGTCATCTTCATGCAGAGAGAAATATACTTGGGTTTTGCTAAACACAAACAGGAGAAGACCACAAGATCCAGTCTTCTGTCTAAGGTGGCCTTTAAAAATAAGCAGTACAATCACAGCCATATGTATCCTCTGTTTTACTTTGTAGAGGAAACATTGTGAAGCACTTGTTAGGCCAACTTGAAGTAGGTGATACGTTATGGTTTAAATCTATTGACTAGGGAATATAAGGAATCCAACACTGTCAGAAAGAAGTAAAGAACCTTGTGGGAAATTCTGTCTTGGTTCTACAAGAAGTTTGATACTGTTTTCATGTAAGCAAATATTTTGCTCTTTAGTAAGCAGCAAAATTAAGTGTTTTTAAAAAGAACAAAGAAGTGAATTGTTTACTAGTGATTTGATCCTAGCTACTCTAGCTTTTACTGTCTCATTTACAGAGAAAAAAATTGTTATTTCTGTAACAGATTAATTTTCTTTTTTCCCCACCAGAGAGAAAGAAGAAGACAAAGAGATGGCTGAATTCCTTCGCACCAAGTTAAAACCCTTAGACAAAGCGACACAGTCTCCTACAAGTGAGTTCCTAAACATTAAGAAAAATAAGAATAGGAAAAACTCCATGGACACGGTATAAAAAATAATTTTCAAAGGCCATGCTGGGGCAGCCTCTGCCAAAAGCTAGGTTTATCTAGCTAGATCACCCTGAAACAAGACAGTGTGTCAGCAATTGCTGGCCACTTAGAATTCAGATGCCCAATTACCCCTTAAAACTCAATCCATCTATGGTCATCTATGGCCACTTTATAATGGCTTTGTGTGTTTTAAATATGCAAAGTATATTTGAATACATGTTACCACAACCCGCTTTAGTAAGCGACTAGATTTATTTTTGCCAATAGTTTTCCCATCTGGTTCTGCAAAAATGACCGAGAAAATCTCTTTATATGCTAGGGTACCTGAAGCAAAGGTTGCTTGTTTTACTGCAGGCAAAATGGAAACTAGAAAAGAGACTGCAAAATTCCATAGCTGCCCCAAATTTCTTACATCTTACCAGCGTAAATAGGCTTTTTGATCACATCAACCCAAATCACTTATGGACAGAACTCCAATCGCATGAATTTCTCAGAAACTATGCAGATTACATGATCCCCTGGAAGCTTTTAGCTGCAACTTTCAAAGAAAACAGTCAGAGCGTGAGCTCTAAAAGTTAACAGGTTGATTTTGACCTGTCTCAAACTGAACTCTTGGACAGGAATATAGTCAAGTAAGAGTGGTGCCCTTCTTAGAAAGTACATTTGGTCTACCAGCTGAAGATGTTGGTATCCAAACACACTGCCATTTTGCACAGATCACAATCTTGCTAAAGAGTTTCCAGAAGGATGTGAAATGACCGTGAAGTTCAAGTACAAGGTTGACAGACACATTTTAAGATGGATCACTAATTATTTATGCCCTTTTAGTCACAGGGAGCATGACTTGTCTCCCTTGTTAGTTTACTTCATGTCATTGCATTTAAATGTGAAGTTAGAGATAAAGATTCTTTTCACCCTGAAAAATTAAAACCTACCTTTATCTTGTTCTCCTCCATATGACATCCAAGTTGATGAGAGAATAAATCTAGCAATATTTTTGTTCTTCAACTCCTCAGTTGTTAGGGTTTAAACACAGTAAGATGACCTTCTGTGGAAGGACCTGTTATCTGACCCTGTGGCTGTGAACAGGAACACCTGGACTGAAGAAGATTCGAGAAGTTTACCCTCCCCTTGGGTAAATTCCCTTGGATTCTTTACTTCCTCTTAACTCCCTTCCCTGAAGAGATAAGACTTCCTAAGCAGTCTGAATCCACATACCAACTTGGTTACTACCAAAGTGTTAGATGTATTGTTCAAACAAGACTTAAAAAATTCAGGGTTGCAGGGGAGGGCAGAAAAGGTTTGCATTCTTTAAGCCAGTAATAGGAAGAAAGTTTGACCAGCTCTTGGTTTTAATTGTGTCCTGTTTTGAACATTGCAGGCAGCCCAGCAGAAAAGAAGGCAGAACCTCCTCCAAGCAAGCCCACCATTGCCAAAGCAGGATTGGCTATTATTAAAGATTGTTGTGGGGCCACACAATGCAACATCATGTAGCTCTGGGCTCTCTACTATGTTTGTCTTTTCAAAGGTTTTAATTGAATGAAACTGTAGAGTGAGGGGAACTAACAGCATCCTGCTAACGGAATCAAGAGCAACAGGTACAACAGTAATACATGGAATGTACAATGGCAGGTTCTTCACTGTTGCATGGATCGCTCAACACGCATGCCTAAAAACAAAAGAAATCTATATAGTGGCTGTCCGGTGACCAGAAAAGATCTGTAGTAGTCAACAAAAACCACCCCAGTGATAAAAGTGAAAAGAGGATATGTTTCATCCAGTAAGGCATAAACCAGCTATTTTAACAGGCCATCACTTTAAGAATTTGTTGTACACTTTTCCCCCTTGACAAACAACACTCAAAAAATTGCTGAAATACCCCATTTTGTCTGCTTTTCAAAACAAAAACCACAAGTAGCAATGCTGTATATAGTGCAACTGGTAAGTGAAGCAACTTTAGGATAACTTATGTTGCATACAAAATATTATCAAATTAGCGTGATGTTCAACTACTTTGCTGTGGAGTTTCACTTCCAATTCTTTCTAAAGAATGAGGATCAGTGATGAGGATGCTGCAAGTAGAGATAGATTTTTATATCCCATATGATTTCTGAATTACTCAAGTCAAATTAATATTGCTTGTACCAGGGAAAATAAGTCTCTGGTAAAGCTTTAGCAAGCACAGTTACAGTAATCTGCCAATAGATGGATGTAGTCCAAAGCAGTGTCATTCCTCTTTTAGATCAGCACCTCACATGAAGTCAGAGAAATACTCACCCAGAGAGTTTTGTCCACTATTAGACAAAATAGGAGGAGAGTGGAAGACAAACAAAATTTAACTAATACTTAAACAATGCTTAAAACAACAATTGATTGCATATTTCACAACCATAAGAAATATAAACTATCAAGCATAGGAAGACACTAGCCACCCAAGACAAATTAACCACAAGACAAATGGACAAATCCAGAAATAGATATTTGTGGTAGAAGGATCACAGTCTACACAAATGGGTTTAAAATTAAGGGAAATACAGAAAGACTTATCTGTGTTTCACCATTAAATGTGTTTCTGGTCTCTATGCAGATTAAGCCTTGTGGAATCTAATATCTATATTAGCTGTCAGTAGCTGGTTTGTCTGTGTGATGGTATTCCATATAAATGTACTGTGATAGGTGTAAATAGTAAAATAAATGTACATGGATCTAATGTGAAAAATCTCAGGCTTAGAAATAACAAACAGATAGCAAAGAGTTCCTAAAATAAAGTTTTTCAAGAGGAACTTCCATTTTGTAAAGCCAGCTAAGTGAAGTGTGCACTTACATACAAAGGAACCACAGTTACAGTAAAGGAAGAAAAAAAAAATTAACAGCAGTTACCCAAAAAAGATGAACAGTAATATTTTTTAGAGAGAGAGTATCTTATTAAGGTTTGAGGAGACAGACACTGTCAGAAGTCAGACTACTCTTGTACAAATAAGACTAATCCCTAGCATCAGACTGATTCGATGAAGAACATCTGCGTTTCCAGAATCATTTGTTTCAGTATTGCAGACTCACTTGAGATAAAGAACATATGTCAGTAAGTTCCTTAAGGTTTAAGGATCAAAGTGAAAAACAGAACAAAACACAGACAGCTTCCACCAAGACATGAAGCACTTTAAATATTTTTGACCAAAGACACAGGAACGAGGACAAAACATCCAAAGGCTGAATAGTCATAGGTAGTTATTGCATCCTTCTTGATACATACAACATCCCATTAAGCTCTGTAGCTGTTAGTATCTACTGTATCTGCTGTGGGTTGGACTCTGTACAGCACCTGCATACATTAACAGAGTTATGGGGAAAACTGCTTTTAAGGGAGAATACATGCTGGAGGGGAAGAAACACTCACTGGGTTCTGTAAAATTTAACAGCCTCTTGAAGTTGCTGGTATCCAGTTAAGACACCAGGAATTATCAGTATCTTAAGACAAGAGGCAGGTGTTAGTGCCATTAACAAGGCAAAAGGAAGTTAGGAAAAAAAACTGTAGTGGAGCACCAAAGCCTTAAGAGAATCAACTGTTACAACCAAGTATTGTGAATGCTGGCAATTAAAGGATCCGGAAGGACTTCACACACAGTGTTTTTAAGGCAATAGGTGACGACTTACTGTTTAAACCACGCTGAGCTATTGACTGGGGCTATCCCTCCATGCTGCACAGAATCTACAGTCCCTTGGGAAGTGAAATCGGTAGAATGTAGGTTTGTATGGAAAAATTTCATTAATAGGAAATGGAGCTAGACATTTCTAGGATGCAACACTCACAACTGGCTACAGAGCCCCCTCCTTCCATTAAACTGAAAACAGCAAGTATGAATATATACCCTTTGTATATAGTTAGGCACTGGCAGCCAGTGCCCCAAAGGGACCTGAACTACAGCAGTATTAGTGAGAGTGAACTTCATTTTCAGAAGTTCCAGCTCGGCTCAGCTGAAAAGTTTTCTTTCTGTAAGTTTGTTTTGTTTTTAATTAGCCAATGCTTCAGTTTTTATTTGGGTGGGTTTGAACAGTTTTCCTGCAGTGCACCAGTGGTTCCTTCAGACAGGGGTCAGTGATGCTGCTTAGCAATAAAGTCCTGGATTTTTTAGACTGTGAGGTCAGATTCTTAACTGTGTTCAACACTATCTTCCAGTATTGTCCATCCAGAACACAGCAGAGCCCTAATGGCTTCAAACATAATGGTTGTAGTTAAATTAAAATTTAGGTGTGTAAAACTCCTGGTCCTTGTTTTTAAAAGTCAGACTAAACCACTGAGTATTCCCAGGAACAACAAGGGACTTTAACTTTCATTATCCTATAAACATAGCTCATTATGCAATCCCCATATGTAAAACCAGCAGAAAATCAGATTAATATCTTTAGGTGACTACATTGAGTAACTGGCATAATTTCAGAGCTGATTTTCAAATATCTGTTACTGTCTGCAAAGAGGGACATCGGTTGACTGAAGCACCCAAAAATCTCTTCTGGAAATCCTGGCTATTTATCACTTCAGAAGGCAGGCAAGGCATCAGAAAAGAAGAAAATAAAAGGTGGATTTGACACGCTGTTTTCTCTATGAACTGGTAAACGTGGCTATATTTAGGAAAGGATCTTGGTCTACTGTGAAAAACAGAAGTGCTGAAGTGCTATTTGTACAATCACCAATTCTACCAGCACATGGTTCTCTTGTACCTTCCCCTAGGCGTACTGAATCTCTTCAGCAAAGTTAAACATATTTCCAAATAAACTAAGCTGCTGTGTTATACTAAGCATACGTTTCTTCCTGTTCCTGAAGGAAGTGGTTGTGTAGTAATAGAGTGGGATGTAGTTACTGTGCTGCTATACTTTTCAAAAATAATATTTATTATTCTGCAAGAAAGGAATAATTTGGTAAGTTAGTGATGCTATTGAAATAAAAATAAAGGATTTTATCTCACTAAAATAACCCATAGTTTCTCCAATGACACTCCAAACAAAACCCACCAAAACCACCAGTCTCATAATGCTTTTAGATGACGTGAAACCTCACTACAGCCCAGAGCACTGAACAGATTAGAAGACAGTTCCCAGCTCTACATTAAAGGTCCCAACATAGTTGAGTATCAAAATTATTGCTAAGCCAGAAGGACTTAACAGCAATTAGGAAAAAAAAAAAAAAAAAAAAAAGTCATCACTGTCTGGTCTGCTCACTAGAGTGGCTTTACAGATGCTACGTGAAGTGTAAGGCTCTGGAGATCTCAGGGACCAGAGACAACATGACCAGATACAGCGAATGAGAGACATCCACCCCTAGATGCACTTGAGTCATGTTGCTGCTTTGCTCTCATTGCCCCAACTTTCCTCCTGTGGGAAGCAAACACAATGAAGTCAAAACCTGTATTAACAGAGGGTTGGTTTGAGAGTCAGCTAAGAAATACTTAACAGCAATGGTGTATCATCTGAACAAGAGGTGTGGGAAAACAAGTTTCTCTTCTCCCCCACCCCCCAGAATAAAATAATTCAGCTCCACAGAAAGCTTAAAGTGTAACCTGCAGCCAGCTGAGGAATCCTAGATCAGAAGTCAGCAATACAGAGGAGACAGATTGCATCATCCAGACTTTCTCTGCCTAGTTGTACCCTAGTGATGTTACAAATGTGTTGTTAACCAAGATACAGTTAACCGGAGTTAACAAGTACTTTTACAAATAAACCCGTTCCATCCTCCAGAAAGAACAGTACTTAAAAAACAATATTAAGTTGCATTTGACTGCTGCAAAAGGTAACTAGAGCATGCTTTCATCTTTGTGGCTGGTGACCATAAGTTCATGTGTGACTCAGGTTTTGTCACACTTAGTCTTCCTACACAGGCATAAGAACATGTTTTCATTTGCAACTAAGCAGATGGTTAAGGAGAACAGTTTTCCCAATATTCTGTTCAGCTTCATCTCAAACCATGCCACTTGGTACTAAAACATTTACAGCAGACTGAAATCAGTTACCTCAAATTGTGAATTTGAGTTTATTCTACGCAAGATGTGTAGAATACACATACTCTACCTATATCTTTATCCATAGTCACTGCCTCTATAGTGGTTAAAATCTTTACTGGCATTTCAGAGACAGCTCTTGGAAAGTAAGAGTTTAACTACTGGCTCCAAAACCAAAAAGATCTCAAGACTTCTTTTACAGTTAAAACAATTAAAATTCCTGCCAAAAATGAATAGACAACCTTCAAGTTAGATTCACTGGTAAACAATTACCACAGAAAATATTCCTGGTCATCAAGAATAATATTTTTCTTACTAAAAAGGTATTTGAAGGAATTGAGTTCAGAATTTTTTTTTTTTTTTCTGATAAACATGCTATCTCTCACAGTAGAAAGACAATCACAAACTTGTTACACAAACAACCCAGAGAATATGTACTCTGCAGTACAGAGTCTTCAAGATGTGCAAATAAACCAAGTTGCTCTGTGTGGTTTGCTCCTATTTAAAACAATGGAAAATTTCTTGGCACTCCAACATATACAGTAATGTCAACACTTGAAAAATCAAGTGCCAGCAGGTCACCACACCAAACTCTCACATTCCAGGAGCAGGCTGAAGAAAAGCAAAGCATTTTTTCTTCTGTTGTGACCTTGAAGAATAGGCAGCTCCTTCTATTCCAGACCTAGCTTGTAACCTCAAACAACTCAAAGTCCAAGCCAGTCTTCCAAAGTAGTCATGTTACTTAAATGAACACAGTCCTACTCTGCCCTGGCATAAATGCTCCCTTTGTTGTCAAGGTGCATCTTGTACCACATAATCCCATCAGTCCTGCAAACAGCCAGCCAAGCAGGCTGCTCTGGAACAGGTTCACATAAAAACATAAGGTCCAAAACTTACTCTTCCCTCCATGTGGATACAACACTTCACATAGGATCTTGAGAACACCTTGATATCTAGACCTGGATCCAGACAGCCTAGGCAACAGCTTAGACTCAGAGATGAATAAGGAAGTGTTTTAACAGTATCATTTCCCTCACGTTTAAGCTTGTATCCTTTACAGCATTATTAGTTTCTTAACTAGAGACAGTTTTCTGCAGTAATACATCATGTGAGGTTGAACAATTGTGATAAAGACATCAAGAGATGTTTAAACTGACACATAAAAAGTAAACCTCATCAGCTACAGAAATCACAAGATTATAGTAGGCTGGATGTTACAATGGATTAGACTTTCAAACCTCTTTGACATGCTTTAGACAGACTCACTCCAGCAAGTAATACAGCTAAACAAAGAACTTCCAATTTAGGATTTTAAAGTTACAAGAATAGAGAGCTTGTGTGGCACAAAGAGCTACAAATGATAACAACAACGCATTTAACTATCCCTGTCTTCACTTAAAAACATCAGAAATTCCATTGGCTAGAAGTATGTGCTTGGTTTTCCTAACGCATATTAAGAGTTCCACTAAACGGGCCTTTCGAGCCAACTACATATGACTAGATCTGCAATGCAGAAAGAGAGTTTTCCTTTATGGCAGTACTAGTATTGAAGCTTTTGTAAACACACCTATATCCTATTACTATTTGCTTGTGCACCTTCAGGCCAGAAAACCCCTCAATGACCTAGCGTTATTTCACTGGGCAACCAAAGCCGCTCTAATAAAATACCGTAATGTAAAAGCTTCTTAGCTACTTGAGAACACAGAAGACTCATGGTAATCTTACCTTCTGTAACTAGCACAAAATAAGCCTAACGCTTACATCCCTCAATCAACCTATATTGAACAAAAGAAGGTCTATGGAAATGTATCTGGAGGACAAGATTATGCAGTGAACTGCAACTACCAAAGGCACTGTTAAACACACTCCTCCTGAAGCATGAGACAGCAGCGTCTTTATTAGCAAAACCAGAGACAAACCACAAGAAAGCAGCAGAGCAATCTTACCTCAATTTACAACTGCTTATTTTAAAACTAAGCGTATCAACTGAATGAAAGATTTGACTCGTTCCTTGGGGTCATGACTATAGTTTTGAAGTTATAGTCATCCACTTGTTTCTCAGGCAAATTCATGCTCTTAAACAGTGACTCATGTCCAAGAGAACCCACACAAGTACATCTTCCCCACAGGCAAACAAATGACAGATTCCTTCCTGCAAACACCTTTCCTTTTAGGATCTGAGGTAGCATCTTGAGTAAGGCCACCCTGACTCATTAATGAGCAGCTAACTGTGCTCTAAGAGCCTCTGTACCAAGACCATACTCAGCTGCATTCTACTCAAGAGTAATGTATCAAAAGGTTTTATCAGAAGATTTACCTTTAAGAGATCATTTACACATCTGAAGAAACTTAAGTAGAAATACATGTCCTTAGAAAGCAACAGCAGAGACCAGAGTCAAATGGAGAGCAGGTCTTCTTGACAACAGTGCAGTCCAGAAAAACACCACTGCAGCTCCCTCAGCATCACTGGCAAGTGCCTTAACACAGAGACAGTAATGGACTCCACCCTGCATTCCTGGTGTCCTTCACCACCCATCAAAATAGGCACTGTGCCCAGGACACCAGGAATCCGGTAAAACAGTTGCCATCAGGATTTCAGAGGTGGAACATCTGTGAGAACTCCTTCCACGCCCGCAGCGGCCATCCCAGTGCAGAGAGCTTCAGCACGAGGAACACCCCAGTGCCCAGGCCTTGTCTCACACCACTCCTGGCCGGTTTGGTAAAGCTGCACCTAAATATACCTGCAGGGTCTGTCAGAGCTAATGAAATATTTGCTGGCCTGTTGAGCATGCCATTTTATGGCTTGGGCTTCTACCAAAAGTTACTTCAGGTAAATTGCGGAGTAGTTTAAGAAAGCTCAGAACCTGCAGAGATGATTGCAGCTAACTCCAGGCTTCTTGGAGCCAATTACCTCATTTCATCTACACTGACAGAGTTGTTTGTTGTTTTTTTCTTACTAGTAGACTTCATCACACAGAACAGGTTTCCTGGCAGAATGCCATTTTTATTACTTTTGAATCCAGTAACTGAAAGGCTGATTTGAGACTCGTGCCCACAGCATGACATGTAATAGTGCTCTGACAGCCACGTACCATCCAACCCACTGGAATGCCTGAGGCTTTATCGTGCCCTGTACCCCAGCATCACTGAATAAGGCTGCAGGCAAGTCAGCTCAGCATTACTGTCCGTGACATATACTAAGTAGAATAGCTTCCGGCAGTAATACACATTCCAAATCTCGAGGTGAAATGAATAAAGGTCAACCCAAGTCTGCAACAGCTGATGTTTCTCACCATCCTTCTTCCTGAATTACTATGAACTTATCTCTGGCACAGTGTCACATCTCACAAACTGCTTTGCTTTTGAGCTGGCAAAGGCTGCTCTGCGACCTCCTTCAACAGGCACATAAGGTTGGATTATAATCACTCCAAACCCTTATTTGTTACAGATATGTTTTAAAGGAAATATTTTTAAGGCTTTTGCTTTAAAACTGTCAAATTCAGGAGATACAGAGAGATTTTCCAATGGGGTCACCTGTATCCTCATGAGCAATAAGAGCATTCCAATCTCCACCATTTGCATTGGGACTAAGAACAGTCCCTTTTAACACAAAGCACAGAGCTGAGCACCAGAAGTACAAGCCGGATGCTTTTATACCTACAAAGGCCATCTATAAAAGCAGGAAGATCATCTTGCTGCAACTTTTCAGCTGACAAACTGAGCAAGGGCAAGGAATTTCCGCATCTGTCATCTTGCTACTGCACTGTTACTCCTCCTGCAGACATCACCTATGCTTCAAAGTCCAGAATATCTGGAAAGTCCCGCAGGATAAGGATCCTTCGAGATACTGACCACAAGCTTCAAGATATCACTTTCAGGAAGTTTTCCTATTCCTTCCCTAATCCATTTACAATTATTTTATCTTAGCTCTCTTCTCCTCTCAGCATCCTGAAGTTTGCACATACTTGTCATATTCCACCCTCACATTCCTTCCCACACATTTAAAACACAACAGAAAATACGAAAGCAATCTCTGGTTACAGGACTATCGTGTGAACTATTACTCTCTCCCTTTGCACAACTTAATTGTTTTTCTCTGAATTCCCATCCCATACTAAATCCTACTCTGGGTAAAATTAAATTACTTGTCTGCAGTCTGATGTGGTACTCGGGTCTCACTATCCATACTATCCTCCTTATCCCAAGTCTGTTGGCAACAAAGTCACCTTTTAAGAATGTCTCAATAGCTTGAGCTTAAATTTGAGATGTCTCCAAATGCACCAGTCTGCACTTGAAAAAAACTTTGCCTTTAAGTACAACCAGCGTGGTCAGGATGCTTCTGCCAAGCTTGTCACTACTTCCAGTCAAACTGTTAAAAGCTTAAGAAAAACAAATGCAACTCTGCCAGGGGCAATTAGACACAAGAGGAAAACACAAACAAAATCTCTTTCTTCAATAAGTACTCTAGATACAAGGGAACTAAGGATTAGATAGCACTAGTAGAACATCTAAAAGGCCTTAAAACAGATCTAAAGAAGCCTTTTTTTAATTTACACTCTACAAAAAATGCTCACAAATAATACCTTGAAGCGGCATCTCAAAAATTTATTGTAAAATGGTATTTTTTATTTATATCAATCTGCTTCCTGTAGCACATGTATAGCACCACAAACGATTTTAATAGTGTCATGGATTGAGCCCAGAGAGCAACCGAGCACCATGCTGCCATTCACTCACCCCTTCCCCCCAGTGCTGGGAAGGACAAAATGAAACAAAAGGCTCAGGAATGGAGATAAGGACAAGGAAAAGTCACTCACCCACTTAACAGTTACAGGTAAAAGACAGGCTTATTAGGGGAAGAAAACAAGAACATCATTAATTCACACACTAACAAAACCAACACAACAGACAGAATGGGACAGGGAGAAGTGTTGCCATATCTTAAAATACCTTCCCCCACCCCTCCATTCTTCCTGGGCCCAGTTTTGTTCCCGATATCCCTACCTCCTCCTGCAGGGACAGAGGATTGAGGGTGCTGTCAGTCCTGCTGCTTCTTCCTCCAAGTAGGGGGAAGCACTCCTCTGCATTCTTCCCCCTACTCCACATGGCTCCCCTCCTGGGAGACTGCGAGTCCTCCCCACAGGATGCATTCTTCTCAAGATGCTCCGGTGTGGGTCCCCCCCTGTGCTGCAGTCCTCCCAACACAACTACAACCACAGGGGCTGCTTCTTCCCACCGAGTCCCAGGGGTCCCCCACAGGCGGGTGGGTCTCTGCTCTTCCAGTAACCCCAAGAGTGGCAGGGGGGCCCTGACATCTCATCACAGGATACAAGGGGGGGGGGTGTGTCTCCAATCCAGCACACCTCCCTCTCTTCCTCCTTCTCCCACTGGCCTCGATGTTCACGCAGGTGTCAGTTTTCAGTTGCTCACATTCCTGTCAACAGCTACACTAAGCAAAGCCAGGCCATGTTTCTTCCTCCAAGCAGTTTTTCTCTCCATACCAAAGTCCTGAGACTGTCTAAATACATAAAGCAATCTGTCCTTCATGGCCAAAACCAAAGTCCTCAGCCTATTCTATAAAAAGATTGCTTGCTTTCTTACTCTTTCACACTTAAAAGCTTTACTTTGTCGAAAGGAAAAGCCTTTTGTCAGCTTCTCTGTTCAAAAACTTCAAAGGTTAAGGAACAGCCTCATGTTCTCTGTTCTCTTAGACAGTCATGCTTCCTATCAGCATTATTTCATATTACACCTGAAACATCAATTAAGTCAGTCACTTAAGTCCTTGTCTGGCATTAAGCCCAAGTCTCTCCTTGTTGGGCCTTTTTTTTTTTTTAAATTACAGTTAATAGGAGTTAAACCATAGTTCACCATGCAACTACACTCCATCCTGTTACATTATGGCAGACAAAAGAAGCCACATTAATTTTAGAAAAATATCAAGTTATTTCCATCACGACTTTTAAAAACTTGTTATTAAACAGATGGCTTAACATGAGAATGAAAGAAGTGGGAATGTTTGCTGCATGACAACAGAAGAACAATTAAAATCAGACTCACCTTTTGAAGGTAATCACATACCAGGTGTTATGAGGGATTTTACTCATGTATACTTAAAACATTTACAACTACTGAAAGAATTAGAGTGGTGATTATACAGTTTGTAGTGTTGCTTAAGATGCTATAGAAAGTTTTTATAAGTTTCCTGCCCCTCCTTTTAGAGTGACATTTATTACATTATTTACAGAGAGTTTCCAGTTAAATAAGTTTAGGCAGTTGCTTTAAAATTGTTTACTGAACAAGCAAGTCCTCTGCAAGGTCAATGGAACATTTACCTGCGGCAGACCAGACTTTTACTCTAGCAGACTGTTCCACTTAACAGTTCCCTTAAGTGAGAATGTGTAATAAGACCACAAGAAAATAAAGTCAGGAGTAGCTCAACCAGCTCCTTCCTTTTGTCCACAAAGCTGCCAGAACGCCAATTTAGTTGCAGAATTTTTTTTTTTTATTATTCTGTTAGATTCTGAAGTAAAGTTCAAAGCACTCTAGTGAATCTCAAAGTAACTAGCTTGACAGACTTCTAGTTTCTGGATAATTACTATCTTCAGCAAGCTGGAAAACAAGGCTATAATAACTCAGACGTGACTTGTTCACTTTACTGCACAGTAATACTCCATGTGACATTATTCACAACAATTTTAACATTTCTAAGTGGGACAAACTCAGGAGGAACACCTTACTTCTACTTGGATTGAACAGTCCTTTCTCCACCTTTCTCTTCAGGATGATAAATAGTACAGCTTCCTTCTAAAATAAACCCTAAACATTATGTTGTATGAAGAGCAATAATAGCTACGGAGTACATACGTTAACAGCTGAATTGCAAAAACTGGGAGAGCACTCATTCTCCAGAACAGCAGGGTGTGGATTTATGGTGTTTCTTTGGTCTCACTAAATCCCAAGTTTTAGCTCTCTGCTCTGTCTGGAAAATTGAACTTAAGGTGACACTCAGCAAGTTAATGATTCTAGGACAGGTGTTTTTTTGGGTTTTTGTTGTTGTTGGGGGGGTTTTCTTTTTTTGAGCCTTCAGACAAGGACAAGAGTTATGCTTGCTTGAAAATTTTATTGACACAACTGTTTGGTCCCAACACACAAAACAGCACTTGAGCCACAAAAGAAAGTGTCCAAACAAAGTAGACAGCTAAGAAAAGAAATTTTTTTCTCCCTCCCATTCCAAGAAAAAGATAGTGCATAAATTGAGGGCTTCAGTGACATGAATCTGAAGTAGTACATTTCATTGTTAAATTAAAGAATTTCATGGTTGTAATGCTTTTAAATCTGTAAGTCACATCATTCATTTAACCCTTTGAATAAAAAAATATATTGCAATTCAATTAGCTATTTTGTTACACTATGAACACAACTTCTCAAAAGTATTATTCTATTACTTTCAAATAGCAATTTCATCAGAATCACACATGAATCCAGAAAAGATATGCTGACCTCCATAAATGGTATAACCACCACACTCACTTTGACAAATACCATTATTTCCCTCTGAAGCAAAAACCTGGTTTTCTTTAGTACTCCAGATGACTTGTAGCTGCATCCCGTAAGAATGTAATTTCAGATTGGTCTTTTCTCCAATGCATGCTTTTCTGAAACAAAGATCTAGACTGATCAGTGTTAACCTTATCAAACTTAAGGTGAAAGCAGATGTTCTTGCATTTAACTCATTAAAAGCATTCCAAGAAAGCTTACTTCTAAACTTCTCTTTCTATAGCAGTATGTCTGTAGAGGTTTACTAAGGACTCAAAATACTGTACCATAATGCTCAGAAAAACTTCCAAGTGTTTCTCTGCACTCACAATGGCTATAAGTTCACTACTGGTAATACTTCCCTAAATTTAAAAGATTTCCTAACAAAATCTGACTAGTAAAATTCTGTCTATAGCCATTATTCAGTGGTATTTCCTGTTGCTGGCTGAGAAATTAGAGCCCGTGTTCCATCTCTTGTATATTACAATAGAACCCACCCCAAAAAATACTCAGTTGGCCAGTGGAAAACCTCTAGTATAGGTTCTTTCAATGCTACAAGCAATTTATTTGCTGCCTGGCAAATACAACCCATTGTAAATGCCATGATTACCCAGAATGGGTATAAAGTCTCATACACCGGACATCTCTGCTAACTAGAGTTAAGGTCATCCACTGATTTTACCCCTCTTTCAAAGCTGGCCCTTTCAAAAGCCAAAACAAGATACCACAAATGGAAAAAAGCTTCCAACACTAGGAGTAAGTTTTAGAATAAAACCAGACACAGCTAAAAGATAGCACATCAAAGAATAAGCTTCCCATTTACTCAACATTCTTAAAAACAGAAAACAAGGTTAGGCATAACAACCTTAGCATTTCCACATGTAGTTAGAACTTTCCTTACAAGTGGAAATAGCATCAATACCTTCCATCACAAAACATTTTAATAATACCAGCTCCATTATCTGTAATTTATGCATTAAATGCATATTTCAGAAATATCAGAATCTTCCTAACTTCTTTTCTAGACACAATAAAATGTGTGTGTCTGTATCTTAAACTCATGACACCAAGACAGACTTTTCCTTAACCAAATCCATGCCAGACTGGAACTAAATATAGAAGAGAAGCTTACAGCATCAGTGTCCTAGGAAGCTCCTAAATGGAACTGAAAGCTACAGAAAACATTTAAAACAAGTTTCACAAAAATCCACATAATCTTCTACAGACATCTTTAGACAAAAGAATTTCCAATGCAGTTACAAGTCATCTGAGAGGTCAGAGAACAAGCTTCTCCTCTGATATACAATCAACTCCATCACTCTTGTAATTTCAGGTCAGCAAGTTAAAGTTTCTCAACAGGCTTTTGAAAGACAGATCATGCATTTTATTAATACTGTCTGAAACAATACCAGTAAGCAACAGCCTATAGAATACAATTGTGCTACATGTATGATTAACACCACCAACGAGGCTTAAAGAAAATAAAATCTGTTCCATTTCAGTTGAATTAACGTTTTGCTTTTACTGAACACACATTTATGAAAAACTGTAAAATTTAAGAATAATTTAGTGAATGCCAGAATATT